ATAATGTGATAATCATGTTTAAAAACTCTTTGCAACTCTTATTTTTCAGAAAATAATATTGCGGATCAGATTGCTCTGAGCGCTTGTGTTGGTTACCAAGAAAATGCAGCCCTGTTGGTTTTTATTTCTGTATCGCTTCGCGGCGAGTTTCTATTTCTTGGTAATTTGGTTTGTGAAATGGTAAACAAATTATTTAAATTTATTGGTTTGATGGTTTAATATTTGATTAATGCAATTTTCTTTCTTTACAGACTATTAATTACAAGCACAGCATCATCAACGGTGATTGCAAGGAGAACTACTGCAATCTCTGCGATTTTTTCTCTTGGTAAATGCGTTCTGGTCGTAACCGAGGGTGGTCTCCCAAATCAGCCGGGAATAAGGATAGTCATTTTTAATCTTATATCTTTGTTCTTCGACATTATAGGACATGTCATCATTGCAGGCTATTGTTGCAGAACAAAATGCCGCAACCACTGCTGTGGTAAATATGTACCAGCAGTACTGCCCACCGCCGTCGGTGCAATGATTTCGATAGCTGAACAAACGCCATCTCCTAGGCATTCCCACAGCTTGCCGACACCAGCTATTATATCACGTGTGAATGCAACTGCGGCTAAATTTGGTTATTAACAGTGCAACAGTGCCATGTCATTGGCAAAAACACTAAGGGCTGCTGGCACATAGAGGTTGTAAAGTTTTTAGAATCGATGAACTTACTCGAAGAAGACGATGGCCGCAAACATATGATGAAACATCTTCTGGCATGCCTTTGACAATCGTTAAGTCATACGGAGGCTTCACATACGATATTTCACACATGGCTGGAATTTGTTAGCGGACAGAGCACACATTTACAAAATATTTATCGTTCTGCAGAACATGCATGCATATTCAATTCCGATTTTATGGGTCGATGACGGAGGACAACCGAACTTCAGTTGGTTGGCCAGTGGCTGAAATGGTATTACTGATGGCAACTAGCAACTGAAAGCTGGCAACTGAGTTGTTATATTCATGGGCGTCGCCAGGATCGAATTTAGAGGGGGAGGGCGCACGACATATAAAAAAATCCCAAAATTTTCATCTTTACACATACATGTTTCTGGCACGCGGGGGACGATATGTACTTGCCAATTTGTTTTACAAAAATTATTTAAAAATCCGACGTCTCGGTTGCTCGGCAAACCGGTTAATCGTTTCTGCAATTATTTCACATTGATTCTCTAAAAAAAATTTTCGATGTATTCTTAAAATGCATAAACCTAAAGGTAAATTTTATAGGAAATTAAACTAACAATTTATTAAAACTAGTAGTAACCTCGAAATACGGGTGAGTACTTAGCTCAAATTTTATTTAAAGAACTTCGTGAAAGACAACAATTAATCTTGTATTGCTGGACACCTGATAACCCAGGATAATTTTTAAGTTCTTAAAAGACATTACTCTACTCTAAGCTTCGTGCAGTGGGCCATGAGAAAACCGTCATCTATAAGGTATAGTCCAACCGTTCACAATATCTAGTATTATTCTTAATCTGAAACGCAATAATCATTGAAAATTGGCGCCGTTTATGGTGAAAAGTATTTAATATCACACTTTCAAACTAAAGCTTTCTTAACCCTAGAAGCCTAATCTATTTGGGAGTAACGTAAAGCCTTAACATTCGCCGTAGAGGCTTATGTACTTAAAAGATAACTTGTGGGCTAAAATATACTTAGTCCTGCCTTATTTTTTAAAGAATATTGAAGTTGTGAGTTTGACTAATAATAAAACATAGTTTTATTAATAAAAACTATAACCACATTTATTTAAAACAACAAAATAAAAAGTAAATTTTGTGTTAAAATTAAAAAAAGACCCATTCCATATACGCCTCGCAGATGTAGATTATACTTTTAGGGTTAACCCTTTCAGTACAAAAATTCGACCACTGGTTATAAACAATTTTAAATATGTGTACCGGCTAATTTTGGATCGCTCATTTTAAAAATCACATACAAAAATGTGTAAAGCTTTGAGGTTTGCGGTCATTCAGGGTCCTTTTTAATGGTCAGTGATATCCTAGGTGTTTAAAAAAGAAAGGGATCTCAGCTATTTTTATTTTTTGCTTTCGTGAAATATATTTCAAAACTATGAATAATACCTAATAACTTTTCCGAATATTTTCCGAAATTATATTACTCACTATCGACTTTTCTACCGCTTTTTACTTTTTTTGGCAAACACGGTCAACTGCAACTGCAGCTTGCACTTTAGTTTGATATATAGCTCAATTCTGTGGCTGCTACAGATCGGCCTAACTAAGTCGTATGACTGACGATTGGTACATTTGTACAGATTTGTACATTTTTGGCAGTTACAGAGTAGTGTTGTTTGTAAATTCTTTTATTGAGCTGAACACAAATTTCTAAAGAACACCACTCTGTGACTGCCAAAATATACAAATCTGTACAAATGTACTAATTGTGTGACACTGTCTTTAGCCCCGTACCACATCCGACAGCTTCAAAATCAAAAAGGAAAAGGAAGGACAATATTAGCCTGTTCCCGCATTCCATGATTTAGTGAGAAATTGTTCGCAAAATATATGATAAATGTGTGAAAGGAAACGAATTCGGACTATTTCGGACTAAATCCTGGAGTACGGGAACAGTCTAGTTGTCTGTAGCTAACAGTGATGCCATATGCAGATTAAAGTTCAATGGAAGTAAACAAACTTAATGTGTGGCCACAAAATCATACAAGTTTTAAAATGGGAAGAGTTACCCTCGACTTGTGAATTACAATGTATCACAATTTATACAAAAAAAAAATAACTAAAACCGAGATTTCTCTGCTTTTCGCATCGAAAGAGTTAAAAGAAGATAAGGCACTGGAAATGCAACATAAAGCTTTGCCATTGCTTAAATTCCGGCAACAAGTACCAGATTTAAAATATCCGCTGTTTAAAACAGCTGCGTGCCGTATATTTTCAATTTTTGGTACAACGTATAACTGTGAGTCTTTGTACTCTACAATGATATTCGTAAAGTAAAAATACCGTTCACAATTAGTTGCTTTCGCGTACCTGTTAATTATTGATATATAATAAAAATTATCAGCTTTTTGTGTTCGAGTACGCAAAAATATTTGCAAAGTAGGGAAATTGAGAGAGCAAAATGACATTTCATTTGAGGGAAATCTGCTAGTTTCTGCTGGAAAAATTTTTGCCAACAGCAATTTGCCAACAAGAAAACAGCAGACCAAAAACAGCTGGTTGGAATTTACGCAAATCCCAAAATTGAATTTGATGGTTTGGAAGTTAAAATAGTAAAATGCGACTAATTAAACTTATAAGAAGTAAGTCTAGTCAATGAACTGTGTCAGGATAAGACTTCGGAATTTGTTTTCTTACGTTTTCAATTTTATGCTTTTGAATGTAAACAAAATTTCTATCAGCTGTTCGTCTAACTTGCAAGTTTCTGTAAGCTTTCTGTTCGCGAACTATTTTGGATATTTTGCTCTTGTGAGATAACAGATGACATTTCGCCGGAATTTCGCTGTTGGACATTTTTTACTGGAGATTTTAAAAGAGCGTACCTATTGACTATCCAACATATAACATAATTGTTACGAACGGCTTTAACTAACCTAAAACCAGATTTTGAAAATCTCGGCAAAGGGATCTTACAATGGAATAATAATAAAATTAATGTTTTTCATTTCTAATAATCATTTTATTTAAAAATAAATTTTTTGTTTCTCTTGTTCTTTTTTTGTGGCTCTTTTTAGCATTTAGAACTTAAATGTGCCTCTTTTCGGCCTCGGCCTTGCCCACCCCTGCTATATACATTTTCATACAAGGCAGGCTTAAACAGTATTAAAAATATGCTGCAGAAACACAACAGTTGGGTGGNGTAATGGAATAATAATAAAATTAATGTTTTTCATTTCTAATAATCATTTTATTTAAAAATAAATTTTTTGTTTCTCTTGTTCTTTTTTTGTGGCTCTTTTTAGCATTTAGAACTTAAATGTGCCTCTTTTCGGCCTCGGCCTTGCCCACCCCTGCTATATACATTTTCATACAAGGCAGGCTTAAACAGTATTAAAAATATGCTGCAGAAACACAACAGTTGGGTGGCCACTGGCTGAAATGGTTTTACAGATGGCAACTGANTTTAAAAATAAATTTTTTGTTTCTCTTGTTCTTTTTTTGTGGCTCTTTTTAGCATTTAGAACTTAAATGTGCCTCTTTTCGGCCTCGGCCTTGCCCACCCCTGCTATATACATTTTCATACAAGGCAGGCTTAAACAGTATTAAAAATATGCTGCAGAAACACAACAGTTGGGTGGCCACTGGCTGAAATGGTTTTACAGATGGCAACTGCAAGCTGGCAACTGAGTTGCTATATTGGCAACTGAGTTGCTATATTGGCAACTGAGTTGCTATATTGTCAACTGAGTTGCTATATTGGCAACTGAGTTGCTATATTGGCAACTGCATTTTTGTGGTCGCTGCGGTAATAATCGAAGATTGTATACCTACATTGAAGGTAAACTTCAAAGTCTGCCCCTACGTAGCGACGCCCATGGCTATATTGGCAACTGCATTTTTGTGGCTGCCGGGAAATTTTGATTGAGATACTTTATTTCTTTTTTAAATTTGTATCACCTTGAACTTAATGAAACTTAATTCATAATAAAAAACATTTTCATTTCAGTGGCGCTGTCCATCGACAACCCAACTGAGGTTCCGTTGCCATCCATAATCGATCCATAAGTCATAATCGCACGAACTAATCAAGGCTATCACAGCATTCCTTCGTTAGCAACGAGTGTTGGTGGACGTGTTTCGGCGCATAATATTAAATACTTTGCTTTTTGGCGCAACGGCACATGTGTATGTGCTTTGTAAAATCACCATTTTGATTTAAGTGGATAAGAAAAAACCTAAAAACTATAGCCTTTTTCAAGGCTGACGCTTTTAAGTACAGACGGTGCTTCGCTTTTGGCGTCACAGCGTACTTTTGTGGACAAATCTGTGAAAAATTTTTAATTCACCGGAATTGTGTGGGAGCACCCAAGGTTCAGGTGAGTGATTGTGACTTTAGTGTGGGGTTGCGAAATCTCTTGTGCTTTTGTTTTAACTTTTTTGACTTAATAAAAATCAAGCCTGCCCTCTACGGCAGGAAAAAAACACAAAGCCGCTATGGCGTCCTCACTATCGAGGACGTCATCGGCAGATGACTTCGAAGCTTTCGCGAGCAACAATTTAGTTAGAGGCAAGCGCCTAAAAAAAGAAAAAGAAATTAGAATAGCAAAAATGCTAAAGGCTCATGACATGGCAAGAACTAGTCTTGACATGGGTGTAACCGGTAAGGGAAAAAACGTGGAGGAACCAAGTGAAAATGAAATGAGTATAGATATACAAGAAGGTAACGGGACAACGACGAGTACCGATAGCCCGCTTTTGGCTACGGATAACGGACAGCAAGCAGGTACAGTGACTGCAAAAGATGCTCACTCAAACTCAAATTCAGACATTACTTTGTATCCCCACAATTTTTCCGGCGTTTACATTGTCTTAGTTGACTCATCCCAATGTAACGACATGATAACCGATAGAATCACAAACGGTCTTACACTTTTTAACAAAATTAAAAATTTTAGAATTAAAGATATTGACCTGATTTTTGCTATTGGCAAAAGTCTATATAAGGTTACCTTTAAAAACGCGGCTGCAGCCAACAATTTCGTCCTCAATGATAAAATAAAATCTATTGGTCTCAGAGCTTTTGTACCTAAAACGGCAGTAGAAACATACGGTGTAGTGAGGGGCATTCCGACATGGTGTGAGGAAGCGGAGATCAAGGCCGATGCCATCTCTAGCGTACCTATTACCACAGTCAGGCGCTTCACGCGTAGAAACCAGGATAACGAATCCTTTACTCCCACAACCACTGTCAAAATTGGATTCTCCGGAAAAGAAATACCTGAGTTCATTATACTCAATTATACCAAACTTTACGTGGATTTCTACGTCCCACCCCTAAGGCAGTGCTTAAACTGCGGTAGGCTAGGACATACTCAGTTTTCCTGCAAGTCAAAAAAACGTTGCATCAAATGTGGCCTTGTTACCTGTGATATTAACTCATGTGATAAAAAATGCATTCTATGCGGCAGCTTAGAGCATGTTTCTACTGACAAGCTCACCTGCTCGGCATGGGAAAGAGAACGTTCAATCAACCACATAAGAACAGTTAAAAAACTGTCCAGGCGTGAAACAATAAAAACCTATTTCTCCGAGAGCCAAAACCGGTTTGACTTACTCGCTACTGAGGACTTAGATTTCCCGAAGATTTCTGAAAAGGAAGAGAATCTTAAAAATAGGGATTCGAATGTTAACAAAAAACTTACACGAGCAAAATACAGTACAATTGTACGAAAAACAATGCAAACTATCAAGGCACCAGCAGAACAAGCAGCCAGTAGGGAAAACAGGGTTAGAGCACCCAGAGAGTCTGTTCTTAATAAACCAGAATACCTTAAAGGGAAAGTTACTGAAATGGAAAAGCTTATCACTGAATTATTCAAAATCATTCAGAAGGCCTGTGCTGGTGAGCACTTTGGCGATGTTCTAGGGGAGGTACAAAACGTTAAGCAAAAATTTGATGAGGTTATGATCCAGGAAGATTTACATGCGATAAACAGGGGAACTAATCCCCTGGCCCATGCATAAAGTAATGAAGATATTGCAATACAACTGCCAGTCCTTAAAATCCAATATAAACACCATAGAGTACTATTTAAACCATTACGATTACGATCTTGTATGTCTAAGCGAAATTTTCACTTGTAACGAACCACAACATAGGAATATTATAAATTATAATATAATAGAGAAAAATAGAGTTGATGGCTATGGCGGCGTCGCCATAGCTCTGAAAAAACAAATTAAATTTCACAAAATTAACTACATAACTGATGCTGATGTCTTAATTATTAAGACTAAAAATCTAAAGCCAAATCTTGTAATTTATGCGGTTTACTTTCCCCCAAGCGTACTCACTAATGACTTCAAAAACGAAATAACCAGGCTCCTTTCATTTTTAGAACACCAAGAAAATGTCCTACTACTCGGCGACTTTAATGCCAGGGCGAGAGTGTGGGGTGACCAAACTCAATCCTGTAGAGGCAACAATCTGTACAGAATAACATCTGAATACAATTGTTGGCACTTGAATGATGGCTCAATTACTTTTAAAAATGAAACCTTGTCTCCCAATGGGTCAGTGCTTGACCTGTCATTCACAAATAGCTCGATCCCTTTTGAGTGGAAGACTGACCCCACTCGGTTGGGTGGAAGTCATCATTTCCCTATCTCTATAGAAACCACTATGGTCACCCACGAAGGACATAGGTTCCTGGCTCAAAAAAAACTACTTGATAGTTTACAGAAAACCATTCTTGAACCAAATTTTTACGACATACACTCGCAACTCCAAACTGAAATTGAAGCAGCCACATACACTCTCAGCCCAAATAGAAGTCCAAAAGCCTGGTGGACTGACGAGCTTGACAAAGCCTTCCGCTTTCTCAAAGCAGCATACAAAAAATGCAAATTATCACCCTCACCGCAAAACTTTCTGGATTTAACTGAAATCAAGAAAAAGTGGAAAAACCAAGTAAAAGAAGCAAAAAAGAAAAATTTTGAAAATAAAATAAGCGAACTAAATGAGGCCCCCACTACAAAGAATGCTTGGAAATTTGTAAAAGCTCTAAGGGGCGATTACAAAGGTTCCAATAACTCACCTTGGTCAAGTGACAACAACAAAGACTTTCTAAATTTATTAAAAAATCAAGTACCTGTTCGAAATACCCCTTTACCAATCAACGAAGAACTTATCCCTGCAAATAGACTAGCGATAACTTTTGACGAATTATACCAAGTATTACACTCTAAAAATAGAAGCTCAGCCGGTGGCGTCGATCAAGTCACATATAAAATGCTAAAAGCTCTACCTGATGAATCTCTCAATAATGTGCGAACTGCTCTAAACGATGTTTTTCTAACCAACCAAATTCCTGATAAGTGGCGTGTGATAAAAATAGTACCAATCCCCAAAAAGGACAAAGATCTAAATGACTACTCTAACTTCAGGCCCATTGCCTTAATTTCTGTATTTTTAAAATCCATTAACCTATGTATCAAAGATAGAATTTCCAACTTTCTTGAAGACAACAACACGTTACCTAAACACTCTTTTGCATATAGGAAGCACAGGTCAGCCACCATATGCGTCAACTATATTTTACATGAAGCTGCAGCTCTTAAAAAACAGGGTCGTAAGGTCATTGTTTGTGCCTCTGACATCAGCAACGCGTATAACTGCGTTAACATTAGTAAACTAAAAGTAGTCATGACCCAAGCTGGCTTGCACAATGCTTATACGGAATGGATAATCAACTTCTTAGCTCATAGAAAGCTACAACTTGGCAAAGATTCTATCGAAATACACGATGGACTTCCACAAGGTAGTTGTCTCTCGCCTTGTCTCTTCAACTTATATACAAAAGATCTACATTCCATCCAGGATGGCAACACCAAATTGTACCAGTTTGCGGACGATTTCTTAATCATGTCGTTCCATAACAGCCTTGAGCAAGCCACTGCAAATTTGAAGCACAAACTAAATGACTTTGCGCAACTATGTTCGGATCTAAACCTCTCCTTCAATGCTGACAAAACCAAAGTTATGCATCTATGTAAGGGCAAACGTACATCTATCGAGATCCAATACCTAAATCAAGTTATTGAGCAGGTGCATTCTATTAAATTTCTAGGTAGGAACATCAGTTCATCACTTTCGGTCCAAGAACACTATACAGAAGTAATTAAAAAATCACAGAATAACTCTAATCTTTTTAAATGCCTTACCACAGTTAAGTCTGGACTACATCCACAAATCGCTCTGAACTACTATAAATCAGTGGTACGGAGCAAGATTGAATATTGTCGCACGTCCACTTCAAATTGCCCTAAAACCGTCAATAGGAAGATTCAAACCTACCAAAATAGTTTTCTAAGGAGAAGCCTCGGCCTCACCCCAGCAACCCCTATCCCCATAATTTACGCGATTGCAAACGAATTGCCACCGGCAGAAAGAGCTAAATGGCTAACAGCCAAAGAACTAGTCAACAATTTCATTGTTGACGAAGAGTTCAGTGAACATATGTACAACTCATCCAATGTGAATTCTAGTTATAGTGCGGTCTTTAATGAATTTAGGAATGTCTTTGATAACCTTTGCATTGTAAGAGAATCAGCCACCGCCCCTAATCTACATATTATCACCAGAACGCTAACTGGAAAAAAAACTAATGTAACTACTGACGAGATAAAATCGACTTACGCGGCGATGGTAAATGACTACAGAAACTCTAATTTCTGCATCTTTTTCACTGACGCTTCTGTAGGCCCTACGACCACTGGGTGTGGAGTCTACAACTACACTAACAAAGAAGAACATACTTTTAAAATCAATTTTAGTGCCTCATCTACCTATGGCGAAACCATAGCCATTCTCAACGCGCTTCAACTGGCCAGAGAATCAGACTATAATAAGATCGTAATTTTTACCGACAGCCTTATCGCCTGCAAATTACTGGCAAAAAACTACACTCAGAACTACTATATCTTTGAAATACACAAATTAATCCAAAATTCTGATTTTTTTAATGTTACCGTCATCTGGACGCCCAGTCATGTTGGCATTCCAGGCAATGAAAAGGCTGATTCTCTGGCAAAAACAGCCGTTAACTGTGATAATAATTTAAATGTGAAGTTTACCATAGATGAGGCTCTAAGAAACATCCGCAATCATATCCATAACCGATGGTATAACGATTTTATCAACTTCTCCCACACCAAACACAACCTATTCGCGCAAATTTTTACACAGAAGCCACAAAAGACTTGGTTCTACAAATTCAAACTAATTCCAAAAGGAATTAAAATTTTAAATAGAATACTAACCGGCTACACCCATGATAATGAATATCTGCATCGCATAAATGTAATAAGCTCCAATACTTGCAGCTGTGGCGCTACTGATAATTATGTACATCAGACGTTCCACTGCAGCTTACTTGCAAATGTTCGGGAGGGCTTCGAAGTCGTCCACAACTGCACAGATTTTACAGAGATTTTTCGCGGCTTAGACTATCGTAAAATCACTCAACTGGCGAATTTTCTGACAAAAGCTGAAGCTAAATTTTGAAGCATACATAGCTCCACAGGTGTCAATACCGTCCACCTCACTCAAAACCCTCCCCATCCCTAACACAACCCAACTGTCACACCAACAAACCCTGCTTTCGAAATTCCATCATACTTATATATACCGATCATACAAACGCAACGTCAACATCATCAAGTCTACTCCCACATAACCATCGTTATCATCTACTACGTTTGATTACCTGCCATTCAACCGCATAAACCAACTCACACTTTCGTCTTCACTGTGGAACCATCATTATTCAAACGATAACACATTCAATTGCAGAAATCTGCTACCGTTTTAAAGGACACATCTCCGACCAAATTGCAGTATACACACATTGTGCTTAGATGCACTCTCGTGTAACATTGCTACAGATCTATTAAAGCAGAGGGATAACCTGGCGTTGGGGAAACCTGCCAACCTACTCAAATCTCAAAAAAAAAAAAAAAGGCTATCACAGAATCCATCGTAGTTCGATTTTTCGTGAAATCTACGAAAATGCTATTCGAGTAGCTATTGAATTGATCGCCTTTTCGTAGATTTTATGAAAAATCGGACTACGATGGATTCCGTGATAGCCACCAATATGTATTCTCCTTTGACAAGATGTTGGAGAATCACGGCAACACAGCCGCTTTTCTATGCTTTTACGCGCATATGCTAAATTTATCGCACCTAGCTAAAGTGCTTGACAAAGCCTTCTTCAACATTATAACTTAAAGTAAAAAAGTTTAAGGCATGCAATAAAAGAATACAACAGAACCAAAAATATTCTCAAAACTATTATACATAAAAAATTGAACGAATAAAATTCANATTATAACTTAAAGTAAAAAAGTTTAAGGCATGCAATAAAAGAATACAACCGAATCACAAATTTTCTCAAAACTATTATACATAAAAAATGTAACGAATAAAACTCATAATTTAAAATAAAATAAAATATCGCGAATGTTTTTATATGTACATATTTACAAAATAAATCTTAAAGCACCCACAGTAAGCCTAAACCTATAAATGACTAATAAGAAAAATAATAAATAACAGAAATGTGAACAAGTATGTCGAGAAATCTCTAAATAGTAGCGAAACTGTATCTCAATAAATACAACCGACTTCAATGCGCATTCAGGTCGTTCTGGTTACGTAGACATGTAAATGAAATGTAAAGAAAATGAATACGTATTCTACAGAAAAAAAATCAAGATACATTTTTAAAGATTTTAAATAAAATAAATAAAGGAAAACTTGTTCGTGATATCACGACCAAGGTGTATCTATGATACAAAAATTTGAAGGTAAAACCGCTAGGAGGCAGCCTGAACATTTTTGAAGTTCGCTAACATAACAAAAATTTATTCAAATTTTCAATCTCACAAATACATTCTCATTTTCAGTCTCAAATAAAATAAAATTTCAATATTTTCATCTATTTGTATTTTGTTTTACTTTTATTTGGCATTTGTGTTGCTCTCAAAATTTCAATTATATAAAGTAGACAAACTTCAAAAAATAAATTATGGCCGACGAATTGAGCAAGCGATTTAGCCTTTAAATATTTGTATCATTGGTGTATTAAATAAAGTGTTATTGACAACTCAGTGCGGCTCTCTTTTCAGGTACTATTATGTCAAAAAATATAAACGATTCAACGATTCAATATTCATACACATTTTTTTCAATTCGACTTTATAGGATGGTTCTTCTGAGAGCAATGTCAAATTCAATCACACTTCGTTAAATACATTTTGATCTCTACCAAATAATATACATCCTCTGTAAATATTTTATGAAGTATTCCAAAATTCGCCCCGAGCGCGTTCACTATTGATCATTTGATTTAAATAGTTTGATCGGAGTTAATATATTCTTCAGTAATTAATCATATTATATTAAAACATATGCTTATGAGAAATTGTTTAGTCTTAATATGCATAGTTCGCTCGGTGTTCCAAAATACGCTCCGAGTGCGTTCACTATTGATCATTTGATTTAAATAATTGTTTGTCAAGCATTCAGTACTATAATTTGATCGTAGTTTATATATTCTTCAGTAATTGATCCCATTTTATTAAAATATAAACCTATAATAGGGTAGAAATTGTGAAATTATTTACCCGTTAAGGGTATAGTGTGCTAGAGATTGAAGAAAACTGCAACTACTCGTGAAAACATTCATTAAAAGCAATGTAGATGAAGGTAATAAATATTATTATTAAAATTTGATCCACATAAATAACATTTTACACCAGTTATTTGAAGTAAATCGGAATATATTTTTGCATATAACATAGTTTTCATTTAACTCATAAATTACATACTTCATCACAAATATTTTTAAGATCACTTCGAATTGTAAAAATAGCGCTAATTAGTTGTATTGAAGTATAAAATATTTTACTACGTTTATGTTTACTTATAAACCGCATAACAATATTTCTCTCGGGATTTAACCGATGTTAAAATTTTTCACCACGTTATTTTGCGGCGCAGCACCCTGAATGCGGCAAAACAGTTGCTCGCAACCCTTAAGTCCTTTATGGGGACCAAAATAACAGCCACAACAACAAAAACTTTTTCTACTGGTATACTGTGGTGTTGTTTGTGTGAAAAGCGATTTCACTTAGCGAAAAACAATTTGAGTTATATTTTAGTTTTGCAAAGCACGGATTCTTATATTTATCGGCTTAATAGTTTTCTCATTGCATTTTATTATTAAATTCACGCTTCCTAAAATTTTTTTGCAGAATTATATTGGCCTTTACACATTTCACTTGCATTGATTGGTTTTGCATATATATATGTACATACGTTTAAACGCGAAATCTCTTGTCTTAATTACCTCAATATTGGGCTTGTTTGGTGGTGCTGGTAGGCCAGTGTGACTACTTAAGTTTTCTTTTAATACATTAAATCTGCGATCAGATTTATATCGGTATTCACGAGGTATTTCGAATTATCTCTTAAATTCTAACAAAATCACATTTAAAATACACGCTCAAACATGGAAGCCTTCGTAAGATTAGCAGACTCTATAACTGAATTCGAATACGATTACCGCAGTACACCATTCGAAGAGCAAAATAAGCACACCCTTGCAATACAGCAAGAAGAGCTTAGGGCCATTTGGAAGAAAATAAAATCAGCCCATGAAGCCCTCTTAGATACAAATCTGTCAAAAGACGAGAGAGTATCCGTAAAGGGAAAACATAAAAATAGTTTCGCCTGATATATAAAGTGCATGGCTGCAATGGCTGCTGACGCAGAAAAGTTAGCGAAAACCAAAAGGAAATAGAAGATATATCTGTTCGGGAGCACAATATACATCTGCCTCCTTGCGACACAGATATCTTCAAAGAGGATTACATTTCATGGCCGTCATTCAAAGATATGTGTACGGCCATATACATTCTCAATAAGCGCCTTACCCCGGTTAAGAAGCTTTTCCACCTCAACCAGAAAACTGAAGGGGAGGCCAAGGAAAAGATGAGATGGTGTCCTTTAACCAATGATGGCGTTGAAATGGCCTGGAAAAGTTTAAGCGACAGATAAGAAAATAAACACATTCTGGTAAATATGCAATTGAAAATTTTGTTCAACCTCAACGCAGTAGAGATCGAATGCGGTAGCTCTATCAAGAAACTGCCATAATATTGACATTTCTAATTGGGATGAAATTCTAACGTAAATTTGTTCGATAAAACTACCAGAACATACACTAGCGCTATGCGAACAGACCATAGAGAATAAAACAGAAATTTCTAAATGGAAAGACATGGATAGGTTTTTATCCAACAGGTTTCAGACGCTTGAAAACATTTCTGGCCTAAAGAATATAAGCCGGAAAACATACGGCATTGCCCCAAATCACCTTTAAACCAACTAACAAAAAAGTTTATTATGTTAAGCACAATACCTACTGACTGAAGTGCTTATCAGCTGAACATACAGTGTCAAGATGCACTAGTCCATACAGTTGTGGCACGTGCCGTTTGAGGCATCACACGATGCTCCACATTCAAGCAGTTCAGCAAAAACCAACTGCTCATAGTGGACTTCCGAACCGCGAAGATGACATAGCTTCAACGTCAGAACAGGCTAGGTTGAGGCGCGAAACTGAAAGAGCAAATAATTCGCAGACTAACAATGTTACCTCCTGTCACGCAAATACAAATAAAGGAATGTTATTAGGAACTGCGCATGTCAGTATCCACTACAAAGGCGTTAGTTTTCCAACTAGAGCACTAACTGACTCTGGCTCTGAGTGCTCGTTGATCAAACGCAGAATCAAACTGTCATCAAGATGCTTCAATGCCCAGGTCTCGAATATCAACAATTCATCATCTGCGTAGGTCAAAGAACCGTGTTCTATTCATCTGCGGTCAACTATAGACCCATCAATTGTTTTAGAAACCACCGCTTTAGTTTTGCCTCAGTTTACAGGGGATCTTCCGACATGCCACGTTGGTGATATGACACGAAAGGCATTCCCAAACTTGGTTTTGGCAGATAAAATATTCTATGCCAACGAGCCAGTTGATCTCGTATTGGGCGGAGATATTTACCCACAAATAATTTTAAGCGGCATTCAAAAGAACGCGCTAAATACGCTTCTTGCCCAAGAGACCATATTCGGTTGGATTCTAACTGGTTGCGCGCAAACGCCGAAGCCAACAAAAAGAAAACGTTAATTTTTCAGCAAAGTCTCAGCATTTGCTACACACCAAACCAAGGATCTCAACGCGGAGATTCGGCATCTAGTAAACATACATAAGCGGAAGAAGTGGGAAGAGCATCTGAAGACCTGTAACTTCACCTCTGGTGTGAGTAAGCTTTGGTCAACCGTGAGGTCGTTGTCCAACCCGACGAAGCGCGACGACAGAGTCGAGATAGACTTTGGTGACCACGCTTCGTCGGACCCGGAGAGATGCGCGAGCTATTTTAGCCGGCAGTTCATTCTGCATCCTCCGGTGGATAAAGCCAAACGTCGAGTGACCAGAAGGCTGCAAAAAATGCCAAAACCTAGTGCGCCTCTAGTTTTCACCAGCGGTGAGGTAAGGGTAGCCATCGGGAAGGCGAAAGCTTCCAAAGCCATTGGACCCGACGGAATATGCATGTTGATGCTGAAAAATTTGGGTCCTGCGGGAGTAGCGTACCTAACGGAGGTCCTCAACCTGTCTATGGCCACTCTCGTCATTCCAGACATCTGGAAAATGGGGAGAGTGGTCCCACTGCTCAAACCGGGGAAACCAGCCAACAAAGGAGAGTCTTATCGCCCGATAACTCTCCTTTCCCCGGTAGCGAAGACACTCGAGGCCCTGCTGCTCCCGTACTTCACGAACCACCTGACCCCAGCGAAGCATCAACATGGGTTCCGTAAAGTGCATAGTACAACAACAGCACTTAACGCCATAAACACTCAGATAACTCGTGGCCTAAACCGAAACCG